AGAGATACAGTTGGCCCTCCCTATCCATGGATTCTGTATTTATAGATTCAACAATCAATGACTTGAAAATATTCCTACCCTACTCCCCTTCAAAATTCCTGAAAGCAAATCTTGATTTTGCCATTTAATACAAGGGATGCCATTTTACTACAGCATTGTATATGAAGGTACAGCCACAGATTTGTGTGTCTCTTTTGGAGGGGGAGGGGGGTCCTGGAACTAAGGGTCCACTGTATATTTCATTTTGGAAAATGCTGGATAAATGTAAACTGTCCTGGGGAGTGAGAATTCAAAAAACCTTGTACATGCTAGGAGTTCCCTGAGAATATTTTAGGATGGAGAAACTGTCAAAAGAAAAAAAAAGGAAAGGCACAAAATCAAAGATTTTCTGGTTTTTCCTGTCCATCTGGATGGACCATTACTTGAGTTTATTCCTAATCCATGGCTCTTCTTGCATAATTAAGACATTTCAGCACTTAAATTTAATCAGTATTTTCATTCTTCTTAGATGTCTCCAGTTGAGGTTAAAAGGCAAAGAATCTGTTACGTATGCAAACACACCTATAGCCATAAGAGACCAAGGTAAAGATAAATCCTCTCACACACCCACAGGTCCAACTTCATTCTATAGGGATGAAAGTGAGAACACAATAAAAATATATTTGGCAAAGAAGAAAATGGAAAACACATTTAAGAAGCTTTGAAACACCGAAAATGTATTGTGCAAATAACTTAGGAACATAAAGAAATTGCAGATGTTTGAGTGACCTCTTACAGTGGAGAGCAAGTTTTGCCAAATGGACCAGATAAGTGGAATAATCAGATGGTCTTCTTTTCATTAGCATCTGTTTAATATTGTGCTTTGAAAAACCTTATTTACTATTTTCATGAGCCCATTTACAATCCTTTCCAATGGTATATGGTACACATATGCTCAAACCAGGAAAAGCCTTACAATACAAATGTAATCCCAACAAGTCTGAATAGAAAAGGTATCGATCAAATCAGGGAATTCAGCAGTTATATTTGCCCTAGCTATCTGCTCCATGCAAAATTTACACATGACCACAACTAGTTCCAAAAATGAGCATGATTTGGAGTGAGTTTGTGCAAATATATGTAAAGATACTGGCTGGAATCCTGTATAGGAAAATACACACGCATAAGCACCACCATTATGATGCTACACACACAATCCTGGCCCAACTCCTCAATCCCCATTGACTGGGAAGCAGGTGGTATGATCATTGGGGTCTATTCCCCTGTCATTCACTCCGTTATGAGCAATCTCTGGTGCAAGAGGCACAAACAGGACCCCTGTTGTAATTCACTTTCATTCTGGAGTTGTTTACATGAAGGTAGGTGGGAACATCAGCTAGCTCCTTCCTGATGGGCAGGGGAACTGATCCTTGTGGAGTGCAGTGACTGCTACCTAATGAGTAGCCCAAACTAGGGGCTACATAAGAATTGCATAACTCTAGGCTATTTATTCATAACTGCAATAGAGAATTATGGCCAGAGTATATTATGGAACATTTGCTCTCCTAGGTTGGGTTATATTCCATTTACATCTCTGAAAATAAATGTCATTGGCTTACACCACCACCACCAAACCAATAAAACCTTGTACTATATTCATTTGTGATATGCCTTCATGTTGACAGAGTTACAACAAACCTATTTATTTATTTATTTACGACATTTATATGCCGCCCTTCTCACCCCGAAGGGGACTCAGAACAGCTTACAAGATATACAAGGCTGGCGGGGACGAGAGATAGGGCCTTCTCGGTGGTGGCCCCGCGGCTGTGGAACGCCCTTCCCACGGACATTAGACTAGCTCCATCATTAATGGTATTCCGCAAAAAAGTGAAAACCTGGTTGTTTGAGCAGGCGTTCGAATAGTCAGTGCAATGAATGTAATGAACATAGGAATGGAACAATGGATGACGGATCTGGATCATGTTTTTAGTGATGAGACGCTAGCGAATGGCTATTGGTGTTAATTGTATATTGTTGTTAATTGTATACTTTTCTATAATATGTTATGATGTTAACTGTTTTTTATACCGTGTTATGGTAACATTGAATTTTTGCTGTTCTTGTTGTTAACCGCTGTGAGTCGCCTAAGGGCTGAGAACAGCGGTATACAAAAAAAGTAAAAGATATATATACATACAATATATTATATTATTAGCATAGTACAATATCAGTATTAAACATTACTATATTGTACTACACCATTATATTGTAATATTATTAGTAATATTACATGTAATATAAATATATAATTATATAATATTATTATTAGTATTATCTTGTATTACATTATAATATTATAAATATTTCATGTATATACATTATATTATTAGTAAAGCACAGGAGACAAGATGGAACTGTCTTCAACTGTAGCCTATCATAGCTTTCTTGACAAGATTTATTCAAATGAGATTTAATTATCCAAAGCACCCTTCCTTCGAGGCAAAGGTGGTATGACTTGCCCAAGATCACCCAGTGGGTTCCCATGGCTGAGCAGAGATTCAGCGCCTGATCTCCCAGAGACCTAGTCCAACAGTCATATCACCACACTATGCTGACTCTTGCTGGATTCAAACACTAAGTAAACAAAGTACAGTCTATATTATGAGAGATTTCTTATGAGAGTTCAGGGCCTTGGTAATTCATCTTCCAGCCTGGCTTAAACTACTATGAAGACCCCTCTCTTCCTGCCAAACAGGATGTCTCCTAATGCCAAGTGTATGCTGAGTATACATTCACTGGGGTTGCCATAAATCCACTTGAAGGCACACAGTGTTTTACAACTTGATGTAAATGAAGGATGGGATGAGAACACAGGTGGGTTTCAAAGAACTTTATTTGCTAAGATAGCTCATTACAAAAAAATGAAGCCAGGCGTGTTACTGCAGATCAGTGCTTTATGGATGGATCTGTAACAGAATGTATGTTTTGTTTTGATACAACCAACATGTGCTACTTCAGGCAATTGCCAACAGACAACACATAAACACATTTAGGGATTATTATGAGGAGAAATATGAAACCACCTTTGAAGATTCCTGTTGTACCAATCTCGAAGAAACACCAGTGTTATGTGACTCGGAAAGCTCCTGTAAACTAGGGATGTTTTGCAACTCAGCTTAAGGCAAAACTCAGTGTAACACTATAACCCATACGGTTAGTATCTGCACAAACGCTTTCTAAAAGAGTAAAATAGCAAGTACAAGAGACCCTTTTCAGACTGGGACTGTGGTGGGAAGTGTGAAGGCTTTAACCTTTTGCATCTTGGTGCTGTGCCAATCTGGGTCAGGAATTTACAACTATTCCTTCCAACGCAAATAGCAGGTGTTGGGGCACTGAGCCAGATCAGGAACGCAGTGCAAGAGAAAGAGTTAAAGGGGAAAATGGAGGACCAGGTTGGAGGCAGTCATTGGGGATTCCACATCTGGTCTAAAGGCTTCTTCTCCTATTACTTTCAATCAGCAGATCAGGGACTGAAGATAACGTAGCATAGAATTGAGCTGTGCCCTGTGATCCAGAAAGCTGCAGTTCACTGTCTATTTGGCAGATATGGAATTGAGTTGTGATCGACTTGCACAGAGCAGAATTATCCATATTTTCAAGGAATCCCTCTGGCCCTGCCCGGTTTTTACACTTAGCCCACCCACTGCTGAAAATATGGGCACTTCCCAAACTAGAAGTTAGTCTTCCTACTTCCCACCAGAGTCCTAATGTGCATTAAATCCCATGATATCTGCTTTCTAGTCATATATAGAATAATATATAGCTAGCATTTGTGAGGAAAGACTTGCTTCAGACTGCCATTTGCAAATAATTACATCACAATTACAGTCATACCGTATTTCCCACTGAGGTCATGAACCTAAGTCTGCACCAGGGATGCAGCGACACAGGAAAGGGGATAAAACAAAGGATTCTACCAAATTATGTTTCCTACTTTCCCCAAAATTTGAGTAATATAGTAACTAAAATATCAGTGGGTTGTTGTAGGTTTTTCGGGCTGTATGGCTATGTTCTAGAAGCATTCTCTCCTGATGTTTAGCCTGCATCTGTGGCAAGCATCCTCAGAGGTTGTGAAGTTTGTTGGAAACTAGGAAAATTGGGTTTATATATCTGTGGAAGGTCCAGGGTGGGAGAAAGAACTCTTGTTTGTTGGAGCTAGGTGTGAATGTTTCACTTCACATCTTCTTCCTCAACACCCCCCCCCCCCATACACGTGAATGACACCTAGTGGATTCTAGGCATACACATGAGCAGAGCCTTTGAAATTAAATAAGGACTAGATGTGTATTCAGCAGACCATAATTAGTCTATGTAGCCTATATGGAAATAACAAAGGAGGGGGTGTTGCTATTCCAAGTAACCCTTAAGTTTAGCTTCAAATCTCATTCAAGAGAATGCTGAAATGGCAAAAAGAAGAGGAGCAATATGCTACTGATTCAGTGCTAGGGAAAACCACAATTCTGTTATTCTCTCTTTCCTAATCAAAGATTACTTTCAAGCTGCAGCAGCAACAGAGGGGATAATCATTTGGCTCTAAACCCTGGAAACCCAACACCAGTTCTTTCAGCTTGGTATCCAGCCATCACAAGATAGCTCTCAACATGCAAGGCTATTCTTGGAGGAGAAAAACAATGTGATGAGACAGAAGCAGACCACTCATGGGAGTCTGGGCTATCTCCAAGACCATCAAAATAAGGACAACAATGGCTGGGTTTCCAAGGGTGGTGGAGGAAGGTGAAGCAATCTTACAACGCCCACAAGTCAGGCAAGTAAGCTATAGGGGAAAACCTTCCTCATAACAGTTACCTGCCAAACCTTTTTGAAAACAGCTTCAATAATCCCTTGAACCCGCTTCAAAATAACCCACTCACTTGTCTGAGAATGATTTCTTACTTTTAAGATTAAAGAAGACAGATTTATTATAAAAAGAAAACCCATAGTGGGCCTTTGAGCTTGGCTTTGCAACTGAAATAACAGATGTGCATACCAGTGAATCGAATGTTGGCTTGAACACCTGAGTTGCCATTCCTCCTATACTTCAAATGGGCAACGTACATGGCGAAATGTTTCACATCCATTCGCTGGCTTATTAAAACACTTTTTTCCCCCAAAACCACATGCAGAACCGTTCAAAAATGGGGAGAAGGGAGATATTTCTTGTTGTTGCTACAATCTGCTACCATAAGAATGGTGCTGAATTGGTTTCTGCTGTGAACTGGACTGTTCCAGAATGTCCTGAAAAAGAAAGGCACATTGGACTATATACAATGAAAGTGCTCCAAAACAGCCATGTTAACACCTCTCTCCTTCTGGTCTCGGGATAATGATTTCTCTCCATTCTTGTGTGGGAGCCTGTATATAAAACCCAGAACTTGGAAACATTACTTTTTGGATTTCCACTCCTGGAGCCCCTCAGCCAGCATGACGACTCTGGATGGAGAACGCCAGGATTTGTACTCCAAAAACAAACATTGCTGAATGCTGGAGAAACCACCAGAATGGAGGGTAATAAAAATATAATCTTGCTGTGTCTCAATTAAGTTGTAGACAAATTTTGCACTAATTTATTTAGGAGAATTACCTAGAGACAAAGAGATCCTTTTATTTGAGTTGTCTTCCAGAAAACAGAACAGGTGAGGAAATAGGTCACAGTGAAATAATATGGTTAGAGAAGTGGTTCTCAACCTGTGGGTCCCCAGATGTTTTGGCCTTCAACTCCCAGAAATCCTAACAGCTGGTAAAGTGGCTGGGATTTCTGGGAATTGTAGACCAAAACACCTGGGGACCTACAGGTTGAGAACCACTGGGTTAGAGAGTTAAGAGTGAAAACAATCTAGGTTGGGAGCACAAACCACCTCAATCTTATTTTTCCCTTGTTGTTTGCTTGGTAGTAGTTGGTATTTTAACTACCTGGGCATCGTTGGGCGACTATTTTAACTACCTGGGAGTGGAGCCCCTGGTGGCGCAGTGGGTTAAAGCCCTGTGCTGGCAGGACTGAAGACCGACAGGTCGCAGGTTCGAATCCGGGGAGAGGCGGATGAGCTCCCTCTATCAGCTCCAGCTCCTCATGCGGGGACATGAGAGAAGCCTCCCACAAGGATGATAAAAACATCAAAATCATCGGGCCTCCCCTGGCAACGTCCTTGTAGACGGCCAATTCTCTCACACCAGAAGTGACTTGCAGTTTCTCAAGTCGCTCCTGACACGACAAAAAAAAAAAAAACTACCTGGGAAGGCATGTTAGAAGAGCTTGTCTTTTGAGGCACATATATATTGTGAGTGACTATCACACAAAAAACTAGGAGAAGAGAAGAAAAAAGGAAATGGGTTGAGACATGTTCACAGTTATGCCAAGGACATGACATTCAACTAGTCATTTTTTGACTTCAAGACACTATCTGCAACACCTTTACTTCTGCAGTTGCTTGAGAATCACATCCACAGCTTCTGCAAGGTTGTTCACATAACCATCTGCTGTCACTTTTGGGTGTTGCTCATCACAAGGCCTGCAGAGGAGACAAACAGAAAGAGTAAATGGAAGAAGAAATGAACATGTAAATGATGGTGAGCAACAGAATCTCACTATTTGGGAAGCACACCATGCTTAGATTTCTGTGGTGCCAACTTTCTGTCAGGCATACTGACTAATGTATGAACAGGGCAATAGTGAAAATGAACAGTAGCCAAATCTTGTATTCATTGCTACAGTGATTCATCCTTACCACACTTTCCCTAACAACTTAAAAGTGAGAATTGCTGCAAATCATGCTAGTGATCATTTAACCAAAGGCACATCGGTCTGTGCAAATGCCTGCTTAATGACAGTTGGGACAGCTTGCATATCAAGTCAGTGCCTGCACAATTTATGTAGAACTTGAACAAATTACATTTTTGACTACAGCACCCACAACCTCCCACCCAGGAGTTGCAGTCCCCCCAAAAAGTGACTTTTCCAAACTGAATTCAATAAAATTGAACAATAAATTCCATGTAATTGAATGTAGTTGGGTTAGGAAATATTTTCAGCCATTTCAGTGATGACAACCTACACTTACAGTAGAGCTAGGGAAATATGTACATGGCCAGATGTTGCAGAACTACAGCCCCCATCACTCTAAACAGCACAGGCTAACATGGGCCCAACAACACTAGGCAGGTCAGTCCTAAGTAAGGGTATATGACATAACTTTTATATAGCAAAGTTGGAAGATATATATGTTATTCGAGAGTTAATTGATTATTTACGTGTCAATATGTTATATTTAATTGTAATTTTAAAATTGTTTTCATTTTATGCTTTGTTTTTTGGCACCTTATGCCGTACGTAAGCTGCCCCGAGGTGGTGGTGGTATACAAGAATAAAGTTGTTGTTGTCATCATCATTGTCATCATCATCAATTATTTTCATGCATACTTTGTCTAGGCATGCTCTGTAAACACAACACCGGTTTCATTGCAACATCTTAGAGCCAGGGCTAAAGCTTCCTTTTTTAGTCCCTTCTTCATTGTTAATTCATCCTTCTCTGTATTCCTTCTTTCCATCAGCTTTGGATGTAAAGTTCAAACTGTATTTTGTTCCAGGGTCTCTGCAGCAAATGTTCCAGATGGCTGCAGGGAAAAGCTTTGGGACTCATTTATTATGGGACTCAGAACTCAGTGTACATCCTAGGACTTTGGTTCAACACTTTAAAGACTTTAGGGATGGGCATGAAAACATATAGTGCAGCTTCAGTCACTCTCCATTTCCTTTATTCAAAAGTGTAAAAGGCAAGAGTATATTTAGTTACTGTAGAATATTTCCTCTGTCTGAGAACAGACATTTCCCAAGGGATGTAAATGCTGGCTACAGTCAATAGATAACTTGTCAGAACATGGTCTACGCTTTGGTTCTTGAGGCAACACTCCCAAAGGTATCTTCCCTTCTGATCCTATCCCTCAAATCACCAAACTGTAGAAGGGTCTTGTGCGTGTTAAATTTCATGCAAACTCCACAAGGGCTATTCTTCATCAGTTGGACACAGATAGAGAGATAATTTTAAAAATATCAGTTTCCAGAAGATATTGATTTATGAGGAAGTAGGTTTGTCAAGCAAAGATACAGTGATGTGAAGAAAACTCTTATCTTAATTTATTTATTTAGCAAAAACGTTGAGACTATCCATTTTTTATTGTCCACTGACCATGGGTGAGTGACTCTGGCCAGTCTCAGAAACCAATTTTCTGTCCTTTGGATCCTTTGTGATACCATTATAAATTCCAAGAAACAGACATGACCCCCCCCACGTGAGCATGTAATTATGATGTGAGAGCTGGAACCATAAGAAAGGTTGAGTGAAGGAAGCTTTTGAACTGTAGTGTTGGAGGAAAATTCTGAGAGTGCCATGGACTTTGAGAAGATCCAACCAGTCCATACTTCAGGAAATAAAGCCCAACTGCTCATTGGAGGGAAGGATATTAGAGGCAAAATGAAGTACTTTGGCCACATAATGAGAAGACAGGAAAGCTTGGAGAAGACAATGATGCTGGGCAAAATGGAAGGAAAAAGGAAGAGGGGCCGACCAAGGGCAAGATGGATGGATGGTATCCTTAAAGTGACTGGCTTGACCTTGAAGGAGCTGGGGGTAGATGGCTTACAGGGAGCTCTGTTGTGGGCTGGTCCATGAGGTCAGAGTCAGAAGCAATTGAACAAATAAACAACAACAGACACCAAACTAGTAGTAGTAAGGAATCTGCTTCTGAATTGGAAAAACCCTGACACTTTGATGGTAACAGAGTAGGGGGACCCTATGACCAACTGAAAAATTGAAGTGTCACTCCTAAAATCTTCTAAGATAGGCAATTCATTTTTTTCAATCTCAGTAAAACAGGGGTGGAGGAGCCTGAAAGGATCAAGGTTGAAAAAACCGCCCACCTGTGGTCTATCCCTACCACAGGCAGACATACAGATGGCCACTTGTCAGAACAAGATACAAATCAGGATGGATCGAGAGATAGACTGACCGGCAGTCAATTTTTAAAGCATTGGGAATCAGAAGGTTATAAGTACTAATTGGCAAAGGAAAGTGGAACTTGAGCTGTAAATTTCATGTATTCACACACTACTCGTCCTGGACAAGCAATAAAGGGAGCCCCAAATGCAGTCAATGTGTGGGACAGAGGTGCTGGATGCTTGTGACATGGAGAAATGTCACCAAGATGCACTGAAAGAAATACAGTAATGTGTCCTCTGTGAAGCACCTATTACTTTAGAAATCCATTAAAGGAAAAGATGGATTTCACTCAAGGTATGATGGTGATGATACAGATCAAGGTTGAGAGGATTAGCCAAAACGCTCACTTCCTGAATCTATTCTCCAAGATCCTAATCCTTCTTAGGTCATGTGTACATGGCCAAACTAAAGTGGACTCTACCGTTGGGGGAGTCCACCCAATCTGTAGCTGGATTCTCAACAGAAGTCCTGCAGCCAGTTATTAATGTGGGTCAATGGTACATAGGATTGATTCTGGAGCTTCTTGCAGGTTCTGGAGCAATCCTGATTTTTAGAGGTGTGGTCAGCTAGATGTGGAAACAGTTTCACCCCCTGAATGTTTAGAACAGTAGTTCTCAACCTGTGGGTCCCCAGTTGTTTTGGCCTACAACTCCCAGAAATCCCAGCCAGTTTACCAGCTGTTAGGATTTCTGGGAGTTGAAGGCCAAAACATCTGGGGACCCACAAGTTGAGAACCACTGGTGTAAAAGCTCAGGATGTGTACATCACACAAATATAGGATTCCAAACCGGCTGTGTTAAGGTGAGACCCAGGGAAGGCCTGATAGTGTTTTCCTCATCTTAAATAAGTAATTTTAGAGCTAGGACATTGTAGCAAAGAGTCATATCCTGGTATCCTTTAACCTTGAGCTCAATTTTCTTTTTTATTATTATTGTTGATACATAGGCCCATCTGGTAATCTGCTGTTTGTTTTGCAATTTCCTTTGCAGAGCTAAAAAATAAAGTCCAATGTTCAAAAGGAATGTGTTTTCTTTCCTTTTTACACATCAGGGTTTAGTGAGCTGCCAGAACCTTGCAAGCAAATGACAAGAATAAATGGTTCCCATGCCAATGGTATTTTACTTTTTAATTCAATGAGATGAAAATGATTGTTGTCATACCGAAACATTTGTTTTACTTCACAGCAGGAGGCTTGACTGCTTTATTTTGAAAATATGTCATACTTCTTCAGTAAAATTTCAAAATTGCATTCCTTTAGGAAAAAAAGCAGAGTGTTTATACTACACATAAGCTTAACACACCTTTTGAGGCAATAACCAGACTGAACAGCAAGTTAGAACATCAGACTGGAAGAAAACATCACTCTCAAGGTGAACCATTGTGCTATCCATCATCTGAATCATAATATCAAGAATTAACTTCCTTGAGGCTTTTCAAAATACAAATTTTCCATTCATATGAATGAAACACGGGGAATAGTTGGAATGGAAATATATGAAGTGTGCCAGAAGATACATCAAAAGTTTCACTTTATCAGTTGTACACTTGGCTTTCAGCAAGAATGGTATGAAACCCAAAACCAAACCACTTTAAGGCGTTTAAGAGATTTTCATACATTGTGAAATACAAAAAAAATTCCTTTCATCTGTGTTATAATCATGGTGGTATTTAAGAACCATTCATCTCATTCGCTTTCAGATGATATGGAGATTTTTGTGATTTTTTGTGTATGTCAGTTGATGAAAATGTGACCACTGTTTCTGTCATAGGCCTCACCATAATTCCTCAGTTAAGATCAATAAAGTTGCGTCTACAGTTACCCAATTAATCTCGGGTAAACGAGGAGGCTGTCCAAATCCAGTCTGGGAGTATCATCAGAACCCTTTGTGTATTCAGAACACTGGCCAAGCTGAGGGCACATTGGGGGCATCACCACTCAGATCACTTTGGGACCACCACCACTGCATTGCTGACCAGAAACTGCTTCCAGATAGAGACTTGCTGGTGACGGAGCATTTCCTGGGTGTCCTGGTATGACTTCACTGGAAGTGATGTCACCAGCAAGTCTTTGACAGGGAGCTGCTTATGCCCTGTGACACAGCAGTGCATTTGTTGGAAATGTAAACAGTAAATGAGGTCTGATCCAGCTCGATATAAGGTTCCATACCTTCAAAACTTTGGGATCACTCTGGAATCCCAGGGCCCTTTCATACAGCCCTATATCCCAGAATATCAAGGCAGAAAATCCCATATTTTCTGCTTTGAACTGGGACTCAGTGTTGACTCAGATAACCCAGTTCAAAGCAGATGTTGTGGGGGTTTGTGCCTGATATTCTGGGATATAGGGCTGTGTGGAAGGGCTCCCATTCTCCTTTAAGCCACACTAATGGCTAAATACATTTCTGCAGCAGCCAGGAAGTGGGTCCTGTTGCAAAATAGCCTACTAGCTTGTCACACGTATTGGCAAAGTGTGAGAGGGGGCTGTATGGAGCATTATTATAATGCTCCAAACAGTT